AAATGCCCACTTCCTGTCCATTCAAACCTTGCTTCTCCTGTCACACCCCAGAAAAGAAAGGCATAGTTTTAATCTGATTGCCACCTGAAGGCTGTCCTAAGGACGGAGTCAAAGATGACTATGAGGATATGCATGTTCTCAAAAATGCAATGGACATGAAGATGGATGTGCTCCTTAAGGGAGCATGGGATTCTAGCCTGTTTAATTTGAAGTCTGCCTTAGCTACTACCTGTGTTGCCAGAAATATGGAGTTTTGGCTTCCACAGTGAAAGGCTCACCTGCTTGCGGTTACTCCAAGGGAGCAGTTGTTTGAGCCTTTGCTAATGCTTTTTAAGACGGTGGGTTTCATTGCTGATGCCTCAGCAGAATCTGTTCGTATGTCTGCTTGCTCCTCAGCCGCTATGAGTTCTTTGGCTTAAAACTTGGGATGGAGACGCTGCTTCCAAGCTCGGTTTATGTAATTTACCCTGCTCTGGTGATCAGCTTTTTGGTCCTGAATTGGAAGCTGCTGTGGAGCTGACCGCTGATACAAGAAAGACTGAGACTGGAAGATTGGGAGGTTTCCTTCCACAATAGAGATCAATTTCTTCCAATGCCTTCACCCTGGGAGCAGGGGTACAGGCTGGATTTAGACAATTCCACTCCTCTAGGTTTTTTTTGTGATGGCTCTCCCCAAAGCCAGATAAAGGCCACTGCACTTCGTTTGCTCTTGGGAGATCTAGTAAACCAATAAGTCATTTCTCCTGTACCCAAGGAAAGACAGGGCAGGGGGTTTTGTTCTCATGTTTTTGTAATGAAAAAGCCCCCGAAATTTTGACTGATCTTAAATCTCAGACCCCTGAACACATCCAACATATACAAGAAATTCAGGATGGATTCCATCTTCTCAGTCAAGAATATTCTTTAGCTGCAGGCTTTCATGGCAACCCTGGTCATGAGGGATGTTTACTCACATATCTTCATAAGGGAACCCTCTCAGAAGTACCTAAGATTAGTGGTAAGTCAAATCAGATCAGTAATTCATCACTACCAATTCAGAGCCCTTCCCTTCGGCCTATCTTCAGCTCCCCGTATCTTTTCCAAAGTATTGAGGGAGGCTCTGGCTCTTCTCAGGTTTCGAGTTCCCTATTTAGATGTTTTGCTGATCACAGTTTTGTCCCCTGCCAGCTGGTGAAAGATCTGAAGTTCACCCATATGAATGGTTGCAGGGATTGGGGTGGTTGATTAATGTGTCAGAATTAAACTCAGTTCCCTCTCAGGTGGTGACTTTTCTGGGATATGTCCTGAACACAGTAAAGAAGATTTAACTTTCCGAATAGAAGATTGACGAGATTTGCTACAGTGTTTTCAGCTTCAGTGGAAGTCCGTCAGTTTCCTTAAGATTCATCATTTCACTACTGTGACTGATGATGGTATGCTTCTTTGCTGTTCAATGGGATTGGTTAAATCAGAGACTGCTTAAGAGTTTTCTTCTGTGGTCTGGGATTGGACGCAAAAACCCTAGACACAGTGGTTCATCTTCCTATGAGAGTAAAGCGAAGACTGTGGTGGTTAAGAGTACACAGCTACATTTCGAAGGGTGTTCTATGCACCTTCCTCCAAGAAGCTGACCACAAATGCTAAAGGTTTGGGCTGGGGTGCTCACTTAGAGGGCCTGTTAGCTCTGGGTCAGTAGACCAGGAAGGCAGCACGGGCCTCATCAAATTGGAGGGAGCTGGAGGCTGTTCACAGAGACATTTTCTTTTCAAGATCAGATCAGGGTTCATCACCTGCAGGTACTCTCAGACAATGCCACTACGGTGGCTTACATTAACAAGCAGGGAGATACTGATGCACTCACAAATCCTTGGAATTACAAATTTCTGCTATGCTTTCCCTCCTATTACCAAACGTTCTTCAGAAATTTCTCCAAAAGGATACAAATCTCACTTTGATTGCTCCGTACTGGCCCAAAAGAATGTGGTTTTCTCTTTTTGCTAGCCAGCCTTCCACCCTGGATACTCCCAGACAGGATGAACCTGACCTTGCAGGGTCCGATCCAAATGTTGAATGTTGGTATCTGAAGAGGAGATACTAAAAGGCTAAAGGATTGCCTTCTAAGGTTATTCATACCTTGCTGAATAGCCGTAAACCTGTCACCGAAAGCATTTACAGGAAAGTGGAAAACATTTTATGCCTGGTTAAATGGTAACAACAGATGCGGTGACGTTCCATCTATCTTGGATTTTGTGCAGGACAGAGCGGGTAAGGGTCTTGCCCTTAGCATTCGAAAAATACATGTGGCAGCCCTCAGTGTTTACCTACAGACTTCCCTTTCAGAAAATCTACTCATATGCAGATATTTCAAAGCTCTATCAAAATTGAGGCCAGTAAAGGTTAGAGGCTTTCACAAATGGGACTTGTCACTAGTGTTTCAAGGTTTGACTGGAACCCCTTTTGAGCCCGTCTGAGACCTCTCTTAGGCCTTTCATGCACAAAACATCCCTTTTGGTTGCGCTTACTTCAGCCCGTAGGATCAGCGAGTTTCAGCCGCTCTCCATTAGGGGACCATTTCTTTTCTATCTTTGATGATCGCATTGTATTTAGGACTAACTTTGGGTTTCTTCCCAAGATTACATCTCATTTTCACAAAACACAGGCTATCGTTCTGCCTGCATTCTGTGACAAACCATCCAAAAGCAAAGAAGCTTTTCATTGGTTGGATGTCAAACTCGGCTTATTGACTAACTTGCAAGCCACCAAGAATTTTCAGAAATCCAATCCCTTGTTGGTTCGCTTCAGGGAATTGTACAAGGAAGCAGACTTCTAAATATTCTATTGTCAGGTGAATTCAACTGGCCATTTCTGAAGCTTACCATGCTATGAAGGTTCCTCCACCGCCTTTCATTAATGCGTACTCCTCTAGAGCCTTGGCAGCCTCCTGGGCAGAAAGAGTGGGTGCCACACTGGGACAGATTAGCAAGACTGGCACATGGTCTAATTTCTCCACCTTTATCAGACATTATCACCTGAATCTGCTGTCTAGTTAGGATCAGGCTTTTGGAAGAAAAATCATACTAATCTGGTAAGTTCTTGTTTTTCCTCTCATGGGCTGTCCTGGAAGACTACTGGAAATAGGAGTTACTGGCAAGTCTATTTATTGGACATAGACGTCACACAATCACAAGAGCCAACGTTTCGAGACCACGCAGGGTCTCTTCATCAGGGCATAAAGAGTGACCTTAAAGCATGGTCTCGAAACGTTGGCTCTTGTGATTGTGTGATGTCTATGTCCAATAAATAGACATGTTGGATTATTCTACTGAGTGCTGGCGATTCCTTTTCCTATATTGTGTCTGCACGGTGCGATCAGTGTTCATCACTACAAGCACCATTGTCTTCATAGGCCTTGATTGCTGCAAGGTGTGCGGAGGATTTCCCCTTCTATCCAATAGGCTGCAAACAAGACATGTACATGGCACAGCTCATGTTAACCTTTACTAAATATGCTTTTAATATGGTTACCAACTTCCCTTCCCTTGGCACACAGAGACTCCCCACCTAGAAGTCACCCACTTTAATGCGTTTCTAAAGTGTCTCTACTATTAGGCCCTAAAACGGGGGAAATGCATTAGAGTGAGCAGCTTCAAAAGGTGGGGGGGGTCTCAATGTGCTGACAGTTCTTAGCTTTATGGATTAAGTTGTTGTTGTTGCTGGTAGACTGTGTTGTGTGGCTTCTCCTCTTGAGTTTGCGCAGTGCTTTACAAAATATGGGGAAACAATAGTTGCAACACAAAGGACTCTGCTCATGAAAACGTACAATCTACATCAGTTCCTTCATCAGGCAACAGTGACATGACTATTACCCTATGAAGCCTATGTAGAGCTCGGAAACATCACTGCTGTACCTTTGTGACTAATAATGAAATCCATGAAGGAGCGGATGATGTCCTAGCGATATATATGCTCCTATCTCCAGCAGGGACACAAACTGCAATGGAAACCCTTTAAAGGAGAACTACAGGGGGGAGTGAATTACACCAATTCCCATAGTTGGATTAGACGCATGACATTGCAACTGTCACACGTCGGCTCTATTGATAAGTGAGCGAAAACATGCCGCCACTTGCTCACTTCCCGATCTTCTGCCTGGATAGAATGGTGATGGTCAGGGATTCCCCCCTCCCCTCTGAACCTCCAACATTGACTGGAGGGATAGATGAGGGAGGGGGTGAGCAGAGCCCTCTGTCAATCAGCCAGCGGGGTGAATCTCAACACTATTGTTGGGACCTGTCCCGGCTGCGGCGTTCTCAGCATATAGCGGGCAATAGCCTGCTATATACTGAGTATTAAGTCATGGGAGACTGTTAGTCTATGTCCTCCTGTGGCCCTAAAGAGAATTATGGGATAAAAAAAAAAAAAAAAAAAAAAAAAAAAAAAACAAATACCACATAGTTCTTTAAGTACAGAGGTGAAAGGTTAAAATCTCTGTCCATAAATGTGTTGCCTAAGTCTCCACAGAAGAAAAAAAAAACACCACCCAAAACAAAAAAAAAACTGCTGCAGTTATGCTTTACACAATTGTGTTAAGAATGCACATCATTAATAGCGCCGGTTTTCTTTTTTTAAACATAGAAAACACAAACCCTTTATAAAACATGAACATTTTATTGCTTGAAGAATACAGCATGTGGGGGAGGGGGGACAAAAAAAGTACAGAACTTTTAAAAAGAAAAAAAAAATGTACACAAGGATCCAACTATCACATAACAATCTCAGCAGTGACATTCTTAAAACACTGCACACTGAAAATCAGGTTGTGAAATATTTTTACACTTGAAGGAAAGAGACCGTCTGTTCAAGTAGAAATATCAGGGGCATCCGCACTGCATGGTGAAACTTTTCAGGCTCTGCTAGACAGGACTCTTTGCTTATTAACCCATGCCACACATGCCATTAGAAAACAAAGCATGTATGCCCCACCTTTAGCTGTTGGAGCTCTTACGCAGCATGGTCTAAAACGTATCATCTTCCTTACAATTCATTTTTGTTATCTTGCAGTCTTATGAAAAAGGGAAAAGAAAAAAAAAAAAAAGTTGGATCAAAAGTGACAGTCTGAAATGAGAGTATAACAAATCCGCAGAGGTCAGTCCTGCTTGTGTTTGCCTCTGGGCTCACCTAGATTCTGGTGAATGATACAGATATATTTCATAGTATTCTCCTTGTTTTAAACCTACGCTAATAGCATTAAGCTATCAATAACTTGCCTCCATTTTCTACCATGTTGGGTCCAAGATTTAAAGTAAAATGGTTTAGGCCCTGACGAGTTAGTAAACTGGCAGCAAATACTGACAACAAGTATGCACGGATGCCTACACGCTAATTTATTTCCCTTGTAGAAGAACCCAGCACTCACTGTGTAAACAGCGACTTCCAGTTTAGAAAGCTTAAGCGCTTCTTGTCTGCATTGTGCTACTCTATAATTGGCAAGAGGAATCAAGCTTGCATCGAGGGATGGAAAGGACCTTGAAGTCTGAATTGGAGGCCACCATCCAAAAGCGTCTCAGTTTGGAGGGCCTGTGCCGACAGGTTTTTGTTTGCTTAAAGCAAGTTTGCATTGCCATACAAGTTTTTGTAAATGCAAAGCCTGCTTGAAGCAAGTCAACTGCAGGTCAAATGCACCTGTCAATTAATTCTGAATGACCTCAGAAGCATGTCAAACTGATGTCATTGACACAAGCCCATTGACACAGACCCCTGGGAGTTTCCCCGAGTGCTCTAATAGGGAAACCAAAATAGAGGCATGCACCTCCATGTGCCTTCTGTAAGTTTCTGCTGCAATATACAACCATGTCAGCAAAAGAGGTTGAAATAAAAAAAAAACAAAAAACCTGACAATGCAAAGTTGATGAGACTATAATTTCATAGTTATTAGTCTTGGCTGGTAAAACATGAAACTTTTAGCAGCACCAATATAAATCATGACACAAAGTCCCGGGGATTTCCAGGCCGTATGGAGGAAGCATTAAGCATTTCTTGTAAATGTTGTGCTTTGACTGTGGAGAAGACAAAACAAAGCTAAGAGATGAAGATAAAGGAGATAAAGATATAAAATTTCAAAACAAAAAGAAAAAAAAAAAACAACAGGTAAAGTGTGCAGTATTTACATAAGAGACTCCACTGTCAGCACTTTTATCAAATAAACATGCTCTAGAAACAGCTTATAATACAGATTTTAAACTTTCTTTATGTGGTCATCATGCAACATTTCTTATTATAATTCTCTGCATTAAAAAGAAAGTTTTGTGCATGGGAGTTGCAGCAATTCATTATTCTTCCCCCTCCAAAGGTTCATTTGGTAGCACTTACTTTACGCTGTCCTTTGTATAAAGTAAATAAGAAAAAGGTTGAGGAGACACGATGCAGAGGTTCCGCTTGGATAAAGAAAAACAATGGATGAGCTCTGGATAGGTTTTTAAGATTATCTTTGCAACTAGAAACTCCCAATTTCACCGAGGTACCACCATGCTGTAAAACAGAAAGGGTTCTTTACACTCCCAGGGCTCCAGGCTTTACTTGGATAGAGCATTGCAGTTCAAGATTTCCTTGCCAATAATTTGCTATCCGGATATAAAAAAGAAAAAAGACCAGGAGACCCAGAACTAGTGCAGCTGACTGTTAGGACTTTAATCTTCCGAGCTCTACAAACAGCAGTAGGGCCCTAGTTGACCGTAGGGCTGAAGAAAACACGCATTGTACTACTGTACACAGAGATTCTTGGAGTTCCCTTTTAACCTGGATATACCCTTTAATAAAACCAATGATGATAAATGGCAATTGATGACAGGGTACTAAGGTGTTCCATGTATTAACACTGGTGGAAGAAGCCCCATCTAGGAAACCAGCAATAGGCAGAAAAGGCTATTAAAAAAGAAATGCATCTCTAGGACATGCATGGTTCTACAAAATATAACCATACCCTGCTTACAAACCTGCAGTAAGTCCTGTCAAGTCATATGACAGGGAAATTCCTATGGTAAAATTGCAGTTTGGAGAATGACATTAGACAGTTTAGAGAGAAACTAGATAAAGCACATCCAAGTTTCATGCCAAATACATCCATCTCTACAGCTCTACCCTGTGGAAGAGTTCATCTTCGACTTGCACGGCATACTCTTTACAGCAGAAAAAAGACAAGAAGCAAAATGCTCAGTGTGGCAATTCTCCAAAGGTTGCCTAGCTGCCGAACTACTGCTCCCTGTGCTCCCCTCTGCAGCTGGCCAGATGTAGTTGTTGGCCATACAAACGTCTATAGGAATTTCCCCATCAACAGGCCAGCTACAATGCGGAGCACAGGAGAAAATGTGTACTGGCTCCGCAATGTTTCTTTTTCTTTAATAGGTGGAGCTCTGCAAGTTTTAGGACAAGGAACTCTGGATCAGGAGCATGGAGGTACGTGTAATTCAGACTTACACTCTCTGTGCACCAATCTAGGGATGTAGCCCATCTGCCACATTCCTGATCAACAAGGAACAAGTCTGGTGTTCAGATTTCTTTCTACAGAAAGCATACCTGTAATGAAAACTCAACCCCCTATCACCCTGACCACCAAGCCTCCTTGTAATATAAAAATAACCCCCTAATGCTTACCTTTGTAATGGACTCCCACTGCAGCTGGTCACACAAACATATAGCGTTTGGTTACGTGGTCTCATCTGGAGAGGTTTCTAGACTGACATTCAGGCAGTATTAGGCAATCAGCAGCTCTGCCTGAGAACAACGGTGCAAGGTGATCAAGCCTGACTGAGGTTGTGTTTTCACTATAGGTCCATTGTAATGCCCTCACCCAACACTGTCCAATGCAGAAGCAATTATGCTTATGTTCATATTCTAAACTGCAGTAGAAAAAGTATAGTTGGAATCTGCCAGGTCACCATAGGCAATAACTTCATCCAGGTCATTTACACCTTGACTAGCAGCCTTATTCAACAAACAGTGCAAGGTGGAAAACAAAGTGCAGAGTACAACTCCTTATAGAAACCAATAAAATTCACTGAATTTAGACCGCAAGATTCTGATTTCCAACTATGTACACTGTACTTTGCACTCTGGTCCTCACATTTGTTCCTTGTACAGGTTATGAAACGCATTGAGCTCCAACAAGAAGATAAGAATAAGGGGAACAGTACAGTTCTGCGATCATAGTTTATCCATAAATCCAGCAGACTCCATAGACCCAATCATCAATGGGTACTATGGTGAAATGGTGGATGGTGACACCACAACATAATACCCGATACAAGATATCACTAGCACACCATATTTAGATGAATAGACAGGACACTTTAGTGTCACCAACAGGAAGTGATGTTTCAATGCCACTAGGGACCTCTTCCTTGTCAGCTCACTGAGGAAAAAGTCCTTAGTGGCCTTGAAACACCATTTCTTGTTGGTGACAATAAAGTGACCTATCTATTCATCTAAATATGGTGTGCTGGGGATTTCTTAGATTGGCATCTTAGTTTTGATTCCCACAGCGCTATGACTACTGGATGGAGCAGAGGATCAATCTAGTGGCCATAATGCAGTGCAAATCTAAAACCAAGACATTTGCAGAGCGAACATGTTATAAATACATCCCTTAGAGAGCAGGGGAAGGCAAACGTCGGCCCTCCAGCTGTGGTGCACCACAAAGCCCATTAGGCACTGCAAGACACGGAGCCACATGACTCCCAGAGGCAGATGCATCATGGGATTTGTAGTTTAACGTCAGCTGGAGGGCCAGGGTGTGCCTTCCCCTGCCTTAGAGTAACATCTGCATCGGTACGTATTGTTTCACAAAAAACACTAACCCAAATTAGGACTTCAAAACTTAAGCACACCGGCAAGTTTCTTAACAATAATGTTGGCCCAGAAACACCTTCCGAAACTCCTCAGTGCAAATCACTGACGCTATGTCGATTCATTAAGTCATGGACATGGACATTTTAAAAACCAAAGTTAACTGTAAATGTATATCCTAAAAGATGATCTGTGCCGACCCAACAGGACAGCAAGTAGGCATTTCTCTACAATTGCTCGGGACACGTTCCTGAACATACACACAGCAGGGCTTACACTTCCTCATACAACATTTTCCTTTGTTTCCCCTTGTAAAATGTAGTACTCTGCTACAACATGTAAGTTCAGGCTATTAAAACAAGACGCATACAAGAGATAACTGCAGCACATGATTCAGTATGGGCAAATATAGAAATCAGACAGGGTGCTTGCACCGCTATGCACCCAAACTTGCACATTACACATAAACACCGCCGACCTTTCATATATGCCTTATTCCATCATCGTATTCCTTCCAGACCAATAAATGTCCCCAACCCTCCCCCAAAATTAAAAAAAACCTCCTAAGATTGTTTTTGTTTTTTTTCTTTCTTTTTTTTGGTTTTTAAGTTTAGTTAAAAGGGAAATGCAAATAGGTTTTTAGAGCTTCTGTATAAATCTCGCTATTTAATAAAGTTGTAGTTTGGTTTAACACTGCTTATTGATCAAGTAAATGACTCATTGCTAATATAAAATTTCATAAAGACCATTAAAAATTCTCTACTGATATGATACTGAACCTTAAGTGTGTCGACAGTTCAAAAAGGGGTTTTGTACATGTATAGGGTATATAGGAGCAGAGACTTTACAGACATCCCTAGAATACCAATTGACCAGTCCACAATAGACACATAAAAAAAAAATTCCAGGTAAGCGTTTGTTTTGTTTTTTGCTTTCTTTTCCATGGATTTCTTTGTGCAGGCAAAAAAACGATTCAGGAGGATAGAAAACGCAACTGGGAAGATTCAGATATCATCTTCCTCCTCATCCTGTGAGGAGCCTGCCTGGTTGCTTGCACTGGCTGAGGCGGCTGCCAGTTGTGCCTGCTGTGCTGCTTGCTGCATCTGTAGCCATTCCTGTTGGGCTAATTCTGCTTGTTGCTGTCTGGCCTGGAAGAAAACGGAATACAGTTTTAGAAATGGCAGCTACAAGAAAAAAAAAAACAGACAGTAACATGCAACAGTTTTAATTGGTCTTCCTGGGATAAAGCGTTCTGTTTAAACGGGGGTTAGTTCACTTTTTATCAGGGGTCTAAACAGACCCCTGATATTTCCCTTTTAAAATAGAAAAAGAGATTGAGAACACAGAGTCCTCAATCTTTTTTTCTGCAGCATCGGGTTATAAATGAACAGGAATCCTCTATGAGCCAGGGGTGTGGAAATTTAAAAAAAATAACTACTTGTCCAAGGGCTAAATCGGGGGCCGAATCTACTTGTCCCTCATGACAATCTACTTGTCCCAATACAAAAAAATAGTTTTAATCAAAACTAGGGATGCACCGATATAGGTTTTGGGTATCGAGCACGAGCAATGATTCTGTTTGCCCGGGAAGCCTGCTCCATGCCATCAGGAAGCTGGGCAGCAGGTAATTAATTACCTGCTACCCAACTTCCTGATTGTCAGGGAAGCCGGCTTGATCGTGATTGGCCAGGAAACCGGCTTCCCAGCCAAATCAGCATCGAGCCAGCCAATCAGGAAACCGGGGTGGGTCATTAGTCGCTGCCCCGCTTCCTGATTGCACGGGAAGCTGGCTCCATGTTCACCTGCGGCACTGCCGGTCAGAGGAAATCTTCCGCTAACCAGAAGTTACAGTATTGGGGAAGATACCGGAGCATTTGGGCGAGTACAAGTACTTGCCCAAATATTCTGTATTGGTGCATCCCTAATCAAAACTGTATTTGACTGTGCCAAATACTGCTTCTCATTGGTCAGCGTGGACACCTGACCACGCTGACCAATGAGTGCTTGCAATTTGCCTTCAAAATGCATAGGGCTGGACTGTACAGGCGGAGGGTAAGGACTGTTCACTGAATAGTAAGTATAGCCGGGGGGTTCTGGGAGAGGCCGGGCCAGATTTGATTGGGTAATTCAATTTCCCATATTACTTGGGAAAGTGAGCAGGTCGGCTCTATAGATCAGGAAGTGAGGGAACACATACCGTCGCTCGCTTCTGATCCTGTCCCTGCAGAGAGCCGTAATTGTCACTCGCGGCTCCCTGCAGGGATTCTCCCCGCTCCGATCCTCCAGCGCTGACTGGAGGAACGAACGGGGGAGGGGCGGGTACAGCTGGCTCTGCCTCTAGATAGGCAGAGCCAGCTGTCAAATCATGCAGCTGGGTGGATCTCGACAGTAATGTATTGTTGCTCAGTATATAGTGAGCTGTGCTCGCTGTATACTGAGCTTTGGGTCACGGGAGGACGCTAGTTTATGTCCTCCAGTAACCCTTAGGGGAACTATGGTGAAAAACACTGAATCCATAGTTCTCCTTTAATGCACATTGTGCGTGAAGGAGAGTTCTGCTGCTTGGCTACCACAATATGGCACATTGTGGAATGGCGGCAGCACTCAACGCACACACACAATGTCCTATGCATGCATTTATTTGCATGTCTATTATTTTTTCTCCCACTTAATTTTATTCCTATCACATAGGGCTTAAAAACTCCTGTGTGATAGTTTGGAGGCAACAGGTTCTCTCTATGGAACCTGCAACCCCAACACAGAACTGATGTTCTGTGCAGTTCCTGATGGCTGAGACAGGTGGCGCTGTGATCACAGCGCCACGGTCTCAGTGATTACACAGAGCAGGCGAAGAACATCCATTCTTCGGGCTCTATGGTGAGCTTGTGTGCCGTGGTCACGGCAGCGGTGACCGGACACAATAGCCGCCGTTCCTTTCATACAAGTAGTCTAATTAGATCACTTGTATAAAAACGAGCGGCGGCCCCACGCTGTACATTTAGCTCTGCTTGTCTGGACTAGGGCTAAATGTAAAAAAGAACTACTCGCCTGGCGCCCAAAAACTGCATGTCCCGGGCGTCGGGCGATAGGAATTCCACACCCCTGATGAGTGTTCCTGTTCATTCATAACATGAGGACAGAGTACGTTTACTATATCCTCAATCATGAATGAACAGTAGATCACTTCCCATTCATTCATAATTGAGGACACAGTAACCATACTTTGTCCTCAATTATTTACAAACACTCAGCAATCACTTACTGCTTGTACCCACTTTCCTTCCTGACATGCTGTCACAGGAGGCTGAGCGAGCGGGAGGAGAGCTCCTTCTCCTGTGACAGCCTTGCTGGATACCTGCAGGCTCCGACGCTGGGGAGAGACGCGGTGCTGGAGGGTGGGTAGCGCAGCTGCCGGGGTGTTCCGACGTCCCTTGGTGTTGTCACCTGCCTGCTCGAAGGGAGGGTCCGGAGGGGAGGCGGATGCACGCTGGGGCCTCCTAACGGTCCGGTGTGTATGTGTCCAGAGGCTCGTTCAGCTCTGACACTTCGGCTTGAAAAAGGCACAGCCTTCGAAACGCGTCACCAGCACGAACCCAGGACCCACTGAGTGTTCCAAACACTCCATCTCCTCACCGAGCCTACATCCCTCGTTTTTGGGGCTCTGCCCCCTCCCCATCACAACACCGGCATCGAAAGCCGACAGCCTCTGGACACATACACGCCGGACCGTTAGGAGGCCCCAGCGTGCATCCCCCTCCGCCTCCCCTCTGGACCCTCCCTTCGAGCAGGCAGGTGACAACACCAAGGGACGTCGGAACACCCCGGCAGCCGCGCTACCTACCCTCCAGCACCGCGTCTCTCAAACGTCGGAGCCTGCAGCTATCCAGCAAGACAGCCACTCGAGAACACATTCAGGAGGATCATCCCACAGCCCTGTACCCAGGCATTACAGGAGCCCATCACCGTCGTTGAGAGCCAGCCTTCACTTTCCTCGCGGTGAGTTACAGAATCTCCTTCTTTTCTTGCTCACCCACCTCATCTCACCTTGCTTTATTTGTGTTTACCTCTGCTCTATCTGGTTGGACCACCACATCACCCATCCTAAGAGGGACCGCCTCCCGCAACTGCTTCATTCCATCGCACGGCCGTCCTAAAAGCAAATGATCTACCCACCTAGGTGAGTACATCACTTATCCCTCTCTTCAGACCTCGCCACATTTATTGCGCAAGGTAGTGGCGCTTCCGTTCTCCAATTTTTGTTTCCTTTAGTACACCTGTTGGACACCACTGTCCGAACACCACGGAAGCTGCACACCCACAGAGCAATAAAGACGCTTCTATTTTTCTACAAAAATAAACCCCCTACCCACCCCCTGATTGGCCAGGAAGCCGGCTTTATGTCCCCTCGTCACCTGGTGACGAGGGAGCACGGAGCCAGCTTCCAGGCCAATCGGGAAGCCAGGCGCCCCGTAATGACTCACTGTCCGGCTTCCTGATTGGTCGAGAAGCTGGCCAAGCAGGAAGCCGGACAGTGAGCCATTACCCACCCCTGGCTTCCTGATGGCGCAGAAAGCCATCTCCATGCTTCCTCGTCACCAGGTGACGAGGAAGCATGGAGACGGCTTCCCTGCTAATCGGGAAGCCGGATGGCGAGTCATTACATGCCGCCTGGCTTCCTTAATGGGACTGCTGGTATCGTCAAGTACCGGAAAAAAAAATATCGGTTCTCATACTCTGTATCAATAACTGTATTAAAAAAACGGTATCGGTGCACCCCTATCATTTACCATCTTAGCACTGGCAAGCTTTAAATCCAAATATTTTTTTGCCATGAGTGACACAGTTTATAGGCATATTACATAAACACAAAACAGGTAGACAATAGCCCACTCATTTCCAGTGTGCTCCATTTTAGTGGCCGCACTACTACAACACAGGCTGCTTACTTTTGCAAACAATTCTTGCTGCTGCCTTAGAAGTTCTTCTTCAGGAATGCCAAGGTTTTCTAGACGTGAACTGGCCTTTCTTCTTTTTAACGCTACTGTTTTGCACTCTTGCAGGACTTCTTTTACTTCACCGATATAGGAACCAAATCCCAAACTTTCTAGTGCTAGGAGAGAAAGAAAAGGAGGAGAGGGGAAAAAAAAAAGTGTTATAACAGCTGAATTTCTCTATTCCTAAAGCTGATCTCCATGCAGATACTATAAAACACCAATGAATGCAGTTATGTTTTCATTAGAATGTATTATTTAAGTATATGTTCAGCCAAAACGTACAGATTTTCCCCCAACTCGTATCTGGAGAGACCATGGTCATCAGAACAGGAAGTGAGGGAAAATCTTTCCGTATAGCAGTTAAACATGACAGTTGATTTCTCACTCTAGACATACTATACATAGAGGGGTGCAGAATTCCTATCGCCCGACACCTGGGACATGCAGTTCCGGGCATCGGCATGTCGTTTTGTTTCTACATTTAGCCTTGCTTCGGTCAAGCTCAAACACAGAAGATCAGAACTGTGTTGGAGGGCAGGTTCCGTAAAGAGAACCTTTCACCTCCAAACTATCACATAGGGGCTTGTAAGCAACTGTGTAATAGCAATAAAATTAAGTGAAAAACATATAAAAGTGAAAAAAGTACAAAATAAAAAAAATATATACAAATTTTTTAAAAAAGTGGTAAAAATAGTAAAACATAAAAAATAAAAAATTAAAACCAACCCTGCCACCCCCACCATTTGCTTGTAAATAAACGAACGCACGCATAGGACAGTGTGTGTGTGTGTGTGTGTGTGTGTGTGCGTGCGTTGAGTGTTGCCCCCCATTCCACTGTGTGCCATATTGTGGTAGCCAGGTAGCTGAACTCTCTTACACGCACAATGTGCATTAAAGGGTAAGTCTACTTTCCCAGGTAATTTGGGAAAATGGAATTAACCGCACAAATCTGGCCCCGTCTCCTCGGATGCCGGTGTATCCACTGTCGGCCAGCCATAACCCAGCGCAGGTTGGCGATCGCAGTCCGGATAGAACCGCCATTTGGTCCGTGTCCAGACTGCAGTCCACCAGTTAGTGACCCTTGATATAGGCTGTGCTGGGGGCCTATATACTACACCAAATAAAAGGAAAGATCCCGCTCTGGTTTTTGGGCAGAACCGGAGGGTTTTAAGTATTTCAATATTTTTTTGAATCAATGTTAGTTTTACGCTATTCTTGACATAAAAGTCCCCTCTGTCTATACTATGAAGTGTATACCCTGATATTATTTCTCAGTCATTTGAATCCCTGAGCCATGTCTCTGTAATGGCATCAAAGTTAACCCCAGACATAAGAGCTGTCAGTTCACAAAGCCTGCTATTTAAATTCCTAGGATTAGTGCATGGGACATGACAAACGCTGCTATTTACTATTGAATTTTTAGTACCAGAATCTTAAACTGCAGTAACCACATCAGCCAAGTCCTTAGAAACACAAATCCTCACATTTGATTTAATCTTTTGTCAGAAATCTCCATTTCTCAGTTTAACTGCATGTCCCAAAAAAAAACAACACATTCAATACTACGTAGCTCAGTACCCCTGTGTGAGGGATGAGAACCATCTCATGGTACAGCACAATGTCAGACTACCTGCTAGCATCATGACCAACATAACCAAAACCTTCAGCTTTCCAACATCCCTTTAACCACACATTGCACTACCAAAGACTTTCCTTTTTTGTGCATATAGACATGTAAGGCCTCTGAAAATGTAAGGGTGCAACCTACAATGCCAAGATCCTGGCCCGAAAAGCACACCATTATGGAAGAAATCATTATTGTCATGATGTACAACATCAACACTGCACTCTTGACAATATTTTAAATGTTCCTCTGGACAGTAGCACCAGGTATCACCCACCTTCTTCTGACACTTCCACACATTCTCCTAAAGCAGCACCTTTTAGGAACCTCATCCACGACACATGCCTGGCTTGTAACATTGGATACACAATTTCCTTTTTGCAAAGCAATTTCCGTTCTTAGACACCTCCATTCTAAGACAAGAAGAGTTGCCAATGTCAGAAACAGCTATGTTTGTAACCTTTGAATCATCTAGTTAAAAGTTACAATAATGACGCACAAAAAGCTACACGTTTATGGTCCGCAGACCAGATAAGCAATGTCACCACGTAGCCTGTGAGGGTCGGTGCACACCTAGGCGACACCTCAACATGCGCCAATCGTGCACGATTGCCGCACGGTCAGGAGTCGCCTAGGTGTGCACCGATCGTGCTGTGGGTGCCATTATTTTCTAATGGCACCGCAGTCGCGCCGGGCAGATTGCGCGGTTTCCCGCTGCGATTCCTCTCCTGCTTCAAACACTATTGCGGCTATTACAACACACACCAATACAGTGCACAAACAATTTTTAACATAAGTCGCTTATTTACAGTGATGCGTTTTTTACCGTTTCGCAAAAAGGCGCAATTTAAAACTTACAAATCTTTTTTATTTATTAACTCAATATAGTTTTATCTTTTAGATTTAGTTGGAAAAAAATTTTGTGCACCGATACTGATTTTAGTGTTCTTTTATCTATTTAATTGTATCCAGCTGAGGTGTAAAGCGTTCGGGGGATTGGCAGCAAAAGGGTTAAGGTAGTGTTAAACTCTCAAACTTTTTTTCCAAGAATGAATCCCGATGTAATATACATTGCCCTGCACAGTATTATTTCCATTTTTGTCCAAACACTTACATTTATCATGTTTCTGAACATCTGCCTCCAACTCTCTCAGCTCGGCTTCCCTGAATGTCCTGTCCAGTACAAGATCATAAGGGACAGATCAGTCTCCACCAGCCATCCATCTACTAGCCTGGAGGAGGGAAAAAGGAAGAAGGAGGAGCGGGGTGAGGGGAGGGGATTGCCCTACTGTGTCTGTATTTGTAGAGGCGCACACACAGCTTACTAGCACACAAAGGTGGCTCCATAGGACTCTGCAAGGGAACGGAGTCACCCTAAAACAGGATAGAAGGACTAGCTGATTCTGCAGGAAGCTAAAATGTTTATACATCAAGAAGCAGCATCCATTGTAAGTCATTTATTCAGCATTTAAAATATTTTGACATTAATATCACTTTAAAAAGGAGAAGTATGAGGTAAGTATGAGGTAAGTATGAGGTAAGTATGAGGTAAGTATGAGGTAAGTGAATTCCACTCATCCTCATAGTTTGAGCCGATGTGTGATAATGAAACTGTCATAGGTCGGCTCTATAGGTAGGGAAATGAGCAAAAACATACTGCCGCTTACTCACTTTCACGATCATCTTCCTGCAGAGAATAGTAACTGTCAGTCACTGACCCCCGCAGGGATTTCCCCCCCCTCCCTGATCCTCCATCGTTGACTGGAGGGACAGGGCATAGCTGGCTCTGCCTCTAGATAGGCAGAGCCCACTGTCAATCATCCAGCTGGGTGGATCTCGACAGCATTTTCGGGATTTGCCCGGCTGCGGCGCTCTCAGCATATAGCAGGCAAAAGCCCACAATATACTAAGCTTTGGGTCATGGGAGAATATAGGGGAGGACGCAAGTATATGTCCTCCCGTGACCTCAAGTAGAACTATGGAAAAAAAACATTGCCCCATAGTTCTCTTTTAAAGGCAACGTCTTTGTACTGAGAAAACTCTATTTACCTGGAATTAAATTGGAAAAAGAAAAAATATCAAGCAGCTTTAAGATCTTTACTTTGGCTTCATTCTGTACAGAATAGTTGAACATGGAAGTTTGGTGACCAAGCTGAACATCAAATTGCGTGAAAGCTGGAGGAGCGGTCGTATGATGAATACATGCACCCTCAGGTAAAGGCATCCCATGGGCATGCACCCTCAGGTAAAGGCATCCCATGGGCATGCACCCTCAGGTAAAGGCATCCCATGGGCATGCACCCTCAGGTAAAGGCATCCCATGGGCATGCACCCTCAGGTAAAGGCATCCCATGGGCATGCACCCTCAGGTAAAGGCATCCTATGGCCATGCACCCTCAGGTAAAGGCATCCTATGGCCATGCACCCTCAGGTAAAGGCATCCTATGGCCATGCACCCTCAGGTAAAGGCATCCCATGGGCATGCACCCTCAGGTAAAGGCATCCCATGGGCATGCACCCTCAGGTAAAGGCATCCTATGGCCATGCACCCTCAGGTAAAGGCATCCTATGGCCATGCACCCTCAGGTAAAGGCATCCCATGGGCATGCACCCTCAGGTAAAGGCATCCCATGGGCATGCACCCTTAGGTAAAGGCATCCTATCCTAATGCAGATGACAGATCAGCCATCTGCATTCTTATCAGGTTTTCCTTCCCTACAGTTCTGCTTTAAATAATTACAAAGACTTTATGTCCAATGAAAGCTATAAAACTACACAACAACCCAACTAATAGTATGTCTTTACTCGAAGGCCTTTCACACACTCCGATCAAGAGGGAATCCGTGCACGGATCCTCTGCTGATCAGAATGTCCGTGGTGACATCCGTGCCCACCCAGTTTTTTCCCCTCTATCTTGCGATGGAAAACTTAAATTACAGAACCCATGTTGGTCTACGGGGAATCGGATGTAAAGGGACTTGTGTCCGTTTACATCAGGTTCCCTATAATCCGGCACAGAGTGAAACAAAACTCTGATCCATCTGGTTTTTTGGACTGGCCAGAGCTGGGGGTAACCAAATGTAAATGGGCACCCGTCAATTTAGATTTGGCTGCCCACGGAATAACATCGGGCTTCCGGTGAAATCCTTCTGAAAAACTGACAGACGGACCTGATCGGAAAGCCTGTGTGAAAGGGGCACATATTCCTAACAAGATCATTTATTAACCAGCAAAAAAAAAAAAAAGAGAGTTTACCATGTGTCCTTTACTCTAAAGGAGGAGCACATATTAATAACAAAATCAATTACTAAAAACAAATATGTTTCATAAGTATGATCTCCTTCACAACACAAAGAAAGGAGAGCAGATCATAATTATTTCAATCTGTTTATTGTTATGGATCCGAATGTTAACAAGCGGAGAGACTTGACAGATGAGGAGCCTCCAGCAAGCATCCATATGGAATACAATGTCACAGTTCTCCCATGAGAG